TATTATCGTCGTCGTTGTCGTCGTCGTCGTCGTCGTCACCGTCGTCATTAATTCATTCATTTTCAGAGATACCAGGCACAGTCAACATTATAAAAACATTGACTGGTATTATATAACAGACACAAGTTTTAACAAAAAACCTAAGTATCTGTTAAATATCGACACAGTATGTATGCTGTTCCTAATATTGCCATTTTTTTTTAGTTCTGATGGTGTGATTTCTGAAATCTGCTACTGCTTCTAGTAGATATTGTTCCCAAAGACCCAATGACTATGTGGGCCACTGAAGTGTGTTTCTTGCAGAGGCAAGATGTTTCGATTGGCTGATCCCTGTATTTTGTTAGTTTTCCAATTCTTTATTTTCAACCTTGGAACTGCAAATGTCAATGATCCAGACATTTCTTCATTCTATTACTATTATGTCAGGTATGTTATGTTCAAGGTGTCTATCCGTTTGGGTCCGGAAATTGCATAAATTCTTGATTTCCTCATTTTCAGACACCTTCTCTACCTGATATTCCTACAGGTTTTTGGAGGCTTCTCCTTCCTCGTGGCCTCTGTGAATGGACACAAGTGGGCTGTTCTGCATCTGCACAGGACGTTTCGGAAGTTTCTAGAGCTTAAAAAACATTTGACAATGAGACATCCCCCCGTGGAGCGCATGCTCCGCCTTCCCAACATCTCCTCAGTTCCTTTTTTCCGCTGAATTGGTAGGACGTATAGGAACACCTAGAGCGAGAAACATCGAGTATTAGATATGGAAATTATCTGATTGCTCAATTGATTCTCTTAGATTATAGTATAATTATTATATTTTTACATCCCCTTGTGATTAGCCTTTAATTTTTTTTCCATTCAACAAACCAATCGTGCCCTGAATGTAAGAAACCTACGAAACCGGTGATAAAACAAAGACTACAATGTTTAAGAACATATTTGTGGGCAACATCTCTTCGCCCAGCTATGGAAACACTTATATCACCAACATCCAAGGAATCAGTGGATAGCTTGGACTCAAGTTGTTTAGGACTTTATAGGTTAAGACCAGCACTTTGAATTGCTCCTGGAAATAGATCAGCAGTCAGTGGAGCTGTTGTAATAGGAGTGTTACATGTTCCCTGTAACCAGCCCCAGTTAACAATCTGGCTGAGGCATTTTGGACCCACTGATGCTTCTGAACACTTTCCAGAGGCAGCCCCATGTAGAGTGTGTTACAGTAATCCAGTCAAGATATAACTAAGGGTAGAGTGTGTTACAGTAATCCAGTCGAGATATAACTATGGGATGTGTCACCAAGGCCAAATCAGAGCTCTCAAGAAACAGGCACAGCTGGGCACCACCGAGACCCGAGTTATTTTTCTGGAGGCTCAGATACTTCCTTCTTCTCCTCCTTGTTGACCTGCCCCTTCCAAAACTACAAGGCAGGTAAAGAGTGAGGAGGTGGAAAACCATCCTTCAATTGCCTGAAGCTCTCCTGCTAGGCAACTGTGGGGAATCAGTGCAGAGGGACCAGGTAGTGATGAAAGCATGTAGCAAGGAGATCGTCATGGAGATGGAGGTATCTTGTCCAAAGATTTTCAGAACCCAGAGCCAGCACTTCAGATGTATGTGTATTAAAGCTTTTGCAGGGGAGGAAGACAATTGCAAAGAGACCCAATCTGTAAATATTGCTCCTGGCTTAACCTATCAGCTGTTTAGAAGAGCTGCTTGTGAACATATGTACAGACTAATCTAAATGTTGTTTTGGTTAATCTTTACCAAGAGATTTGATTAGCACTGTCATTAGACAGTGGAGAATATGATGAGGAAAGTAATGTCAAGAAGATGTCACCCTACCTAAAGATAATGGGACTCATAAACACCAAGAATGTGAAAAGTTTGCCCTCAGAATGGCTGTCCTCAGCTTTTGCCATGCCTGCTTCATAGGAGCATGGCCAGTTTGACTACAAATATTAGGATAAATTTGACACTTATCCTAATAACAAAGGACTACAAATATTAGGATAAATTTGACACTAATAACAAATAGGCTTTATTTCTTTCATATCACCTACCCTTACCAGTCATGGCTTGCAAGGGCTGTTCAGGTATGCTCTTACTACAAGCGAGGCCTGTGTGGGGCAGAGAAACGGTAATTTCTAAAATCCTGAAGAACCTAAAAAACCACATCAGTACAACAAACCCTGAGAGGTAAATGTAAAATCAGAATAACAGTGACCTGCTTCAAGGATCTTCTGCAAAGATTGTATTTACTGGAAGTACAGTTTCACTGCTTGCTGCCATTTTATTATTCTTTGACAGCTCTTTATATTGTTTTATAACATTGGGTTTGTAATTTGTATTTATTTATTTTCATCCATTTGGATGCAAGGTGTTCCATAATTTTTTTAGGATGGGTGACTTCAAGTATATTCAATGACAGAGAACGGAGAAATAAATGACAGTCAATATCACAGACCAGGTTATTTTTCCAAAGGCATATTTGGCCTCTTATTCACGTTTATGTCATATCCTCTAGAATGAGTTCTGTGTAGGGTTGCCAGACGTCTAGAATGAGTTCTGTGTAGGGTTGCCAGACAACCGGCAAAAGGAGGACATGTCCTCCTTTTTAGCCTAATGTCTTTTGTCCGGCAGGCAAAGCTAAAGACCTTTAAAATGTCCAGCTTTTGGGTGTGTCACACTCACACAGGGCATGTCATGCTCGTGCGGTGGGCATGTCGTGCCCCCCTGCGTGTTGTTGATATCTTACTAACAATTAAAAAACACAGCTAGAAATCTGCTCTTTTTCTTTCCTCCCTCTTTCAGTCTTCAAAATGTTTCGCCTGCTAACGTTTCACAACAGAGATCAAATTGCAAACATCATGGGATCTGCAGTTTGTTCATTTCCCTGATGCTTGTACTGTGGACCGAAGGGAAAGGTTTCTCTCCCTGCCTCCAATTTCCTGTCCAAACAAACAGGTGCTTCAAAGCGGTGTCCTTTATGCACATTTTTCTACAGGTTGTCGTCGGGGCTTTGGCGATGATATCTGCAGTTTGTTCATTTCCCTGATGCTTTTACTGTGGACTGAAGGGAAAGGATTCTCTCCCTGTCTCCAAATTCCCACCCAAACAAACAGGTGCTTCAAAGCAGTGTCCTTTATGCACATTTTTGTACAGGTTGTCGTTGGGGCTTTGGCGATGATAATTGGGGGGGAACTAATCAGAGATAAACCTAGATAGACTTATGTTGTATTTTACTATATATTGTTATCTCTCAGGTTACCAGTGCAAAGAGGAGGTAAGCTTCATTGGGGGGGGACCCATGTCTAGCAAACTGTGAAATGTCCTGGGGGAAACAGAGGAGGTAAGCTTCATTGCAGGGGGGGGAAGGACCCATGTCTAGCAAACTGTGAAATGCCCTGGGGGAAATTGTAACATTACATTTTGCTGTCAAAAGTGGCAATCTTTACTTTGCTTCTAATTATTTATTTAAATTCATTTGTAGCTAGGCTCTCTCCCCATTTTGGAACCCAACGTGACTTCCAAAATGGTGACGGAAGCTCAACTCATATATACATTAAAATATTTAAAAAACCCATGGAACATTCAGTATATGGTGTATTGCAATATCATTTTATTTATTTATTTATTTATTTTCATTTCTGTGCCACTTTTCTCTTAATTAAGTGACACTGGGAGAATCACAATTTTAAAAAATGCAATTAGTTATTAACATTATTATATGTTATATGTTTACTTATAATATTAGAAGAGGTGGCCGCATGAGTCTATGCTAGCAGGTCAGGCAAAAATGAAACAAACAACCAAACAAAAATGTTGTGGTATCTTAAAATCTAATTGCAATATTTTAATGTTAGCTTTTCTGGACAAGTCCACTTCTGGGCAAACAAATGTGCATTTGTTTATTTGCATTCTGTTCAGAACTAGATAAGAAATGTGCAACAGGATTGTAAATCATTCAGTTAAAACATTTTGCTGCTTTTTCATAACTTCCAACCTATGTGTTGTATGTTCCCCACCCCCCATGCATGGAGCCCGTCCCTTATTATAAGGTAATAATTGTACAATTGGCTGTTTAAATAGTGGGTTTTGGTATTTTGGGGGGGGAAAGGCTCCATTGAATTTATTTTTATTTCTTAACATGACTGTTTCTTGGTCAGGTCACTAAGAGACATTTATTGGCAGCTATTGTAACAAAATTGTACTGATTGCGGGTTGGCAGCTATTGTAATAAAATTGTTCTGATTGCAGGTTGAATCCGGAACGATTCAAATGAAACATTCAATACGTCTTCCTCTGTCCTCTTTTTTGTCTTTCTATGTTCTCCTTTTGGTACCCATGTATCTGGCAACCCTAGTTCTGTGGCTCTACTGTTCTTACACATGTATGTTCTGCTAGGAGATTATGAGGTTCTGAAGTGCCTCTGCAACAGAACACCCCCCCCAAATATGGACTCCAGTTCTTAGATTCATGAAACCAGGTGGCCCATGAAGTTAAAGTTCACAATACATTTTCAAAGCTGGGGGAAGGGCTGCAGCCAAGCTCTCTCTGGTTATCCCTTACCGTTGTCCACTGTAAACTAATTAGCAGTCTCTCATCAACCAAAGTCCAACCCTCCAGTTTTAACCATCCAATGTAAATGTAAATGAATAAGATTTTTGAACTTACTAACCGAAACTGTTAAGCCTTTTCAGCTAACCCTCTGTTCCTTCTAGCTCCTGTCACCCAAATCTCCAGGAAACAACTTTAAGCCTCCAACTTAAATGTAAATAAACTACACTGTTGAATTCAATAACAATTAAATAGACTGTTAGATTTCTACCAACTTTCCCTTTCTCACAGCTTGTCCTGCCAACCCTTATGAAAAAAACGGGCAGAGGGAAGCAAACGCCCGCCTGCAGAAGGGTCCAGCAAACAGGAGGAAAGAAGTAATACAAACAAAATTGGGAAAACATTGTCTGGACTGTGGGGAAGTTCTGGTGTGCCTGCAGGGAAACTTTAAAGGAACAATTGTTCTGTCTGGAAGAGTCCAGAGTTTATCATGTCATGGCAAACTAGTGATTTGGTTTCTGACCTAGTGAAAGCTATGATTGTGCAGATGTTACCAGCAGTGATATTTGATGCAGCTACTGAAGCACAAATGCAAAATTGAAAGGAGAGATGAAGCAAAAATACTGAAAACAGCAGGAAAACTGCCACAAAGGCAAAAAGGAGCAAGGAAACCCCTGGCAGACCACAGTTGCTCCTGCTTTGAATGTTAGAGATGTAACACTGAGGAGGTTGGAGGGTGATTATCTAACAATTGGTTGTATTGTTGCAAGTTCTCCTTAAAATTAACATTGTAATGTTCATGCTTTCTACTGAGCTGAACTGGAATAATTTGGAGTAATTCCTATAAGTGATGATGGCAATATCATACCTCCTTCCCTTCTCAAAAGAGCCTGAATTTATAAAACATTTAAGTATTCATCCCATGTCACTCCCCAAATTTGAACGTTAGTCCATAGAGGAAAGCAAAATAAGAAAATATTCTGCACTTCTATTTTCTTATCTTAAACAGAAGCTACCAAGCTTGATGGCTTGAACATGGAACTGAAAAGCTATCTCACATCTCCAAGAGGATGTAGCTACTTATCTCAGCAGGGTTTTCATATTGCTTTCACACCTTGCATGTTTACAACTAGTACCCAGCAAGTGTGGGCGGATCTTAAACATGAAATATATGCGCTAGCTTCTATGTCACAATGTTTGTGAATTAAATGTAAATACTAGTTTCTGATGCAGTTAAGTTTCAATTCTAACCGCTGCCATTTCTGATTGGCCTCCGATGAACACAGCTGAAAATAATTTGGGTTGAGTTTTTTTAAAATGTTCTTGCATGGAAATATGAGATGGTGCAAATGCATCTTTTGCTTAGCTCTCCTGTGCTAAACTTTAGATTTGACATGAAAACTTGCATTTGTCCCCTGTGGTGAGAAGTGCAAATCTAGGTGGAACTCATTAATTTCACTGTGGGCTAGCATTAGGGTTAAATATACAAATTTTGTATTTTCTGGATCCAAAGAGAATTCTACTAGTGAATGGGGTCAAGCTCTTGACAACTAAAAGACAAAACTTCTGGTTCTTGGGATCATGGTTCATAAAAGAAAAACATCATGGAATATTTTTGTGTCAATATGTTACATGGGCTGAGCCAGAAAAAAAGCTCAGCCAATGTAACATATTGGCATAAAAATATCCCATCCCATAAAAAATTACGGTTGCATCATGTAATAGGAAATTGGGAAACTTCCCCCAATACAGCTCCTTTTTGTCTGAAAAGAAAACAGGTTGACGCTTACAGATGTTGTTTACAATTCTTCAGGAGACAGTGTTATAAAATGCATGCATGGTTGTTCTGTATGCATTCTGCCCCATAGTGTAGCTCTGGGGGACTAAAATGTTTTAACTGAAAAGGTAAGGATGAAAAGAGACTCCCAGACCTCCAGCTACCCTGTAGAATTAATAAGACAAGCCCCCTCTCCTCAACACACAACACACACACACACACAAGATTTCTCCAGCACTTTTTCTTTTGAGCAGTAATGTGAATGCCTCCCTTCAAATGGTTAAGGAAGAAAACATAAAAAGGTTTGGCCTAACACTATTCCAAACTCAATCAAAGAGCAACCTTCATGTGGGAAGATATTCAGTGCAGCCCCTAGGTTAGCTTTCTGCCATATGCCTGCTTTCACTGCAAGATACAAAGACTACATGCTACTTCTCCTCTTGTGTTTTTCTTTTTTACCACCTACATTCTAAAGAAACATATGCAGAGAAGCAGCTGCAGATTTGTGACAGCCATGGGCTTTTGTAAGATGGAGGCAGTTGGATATCAGTTGTAGAGGTAAGAAAGAGAGAGGGCATCTGCACCAAACAAAACTTTCAGGCTTACTTTTGACCATTTTCGATAACTCTGCAGCCATTTTTCTGGAGGCTGTTTATCTACCATAAATACAAACTGTGGAAAGCAGCAGAGACAACCGCTCTTCTGTTGGGGTTTTTCTTAACTTTATTTTTTTAAAACTGAGTGGCGGGGGAGAGGACAGAGGAATAAAAGTGCATAAAACTAGACCAGCTAAGGGTGGGTGGCTTCCTCTGCCACCACAACTGACAGATGTTGGGAAGAGCATTAGAATGCTTATTCACCCCAACATAGCATAGAAATGTAGCCCTTTGTAGGATTCATCTCTAATTGTTATTGACTGGAATCCATCCAAGCTCCCATCCTCTGGATTCACAGAATGAGCCATCTTGCATATACTATTACATCCTCCTACATACTTCATCAAACCATCTGGTCCAGCAAACCAGGCCAAAATCAGACTTGTGGATCTCTAACAAATGGAAAACATTCTGGAAGCAATGAAGGGCAGAGAGGATAAAAATGAACGAAGTAAAGAAAATGAAACATGGATGATTTCAAGTAGAAGGGCATCAGGTTCCATAAATTCTAGCGACATGCTATAGGTTAGCAAAATAAGAGTGAGGACTTAACACAATCTTATCTGTGTTCATTTCAACTTCTTTTTTTTTTTCTTATACCATATGGACTTTCACAAAAGACAGTTGTTCTGAAGAGTTGTCAGTCAGACTTTTATTGGCATATACAAAAAAAATCACATATACAGAATAACAACAAACTATTAATAAACTGAATGTACAAATGTGTTATGTCTCAGTCTGTGGCTCCTCACTATCTGGTTCAAAAAGGCTGCCACGTTCTCCACTATTAGTGACTCTCCTGTTGACAGAATATACCTCAGTGTGTCACAAAGAGTTGAGATTGCCTTCTGGAGAATTTCACAGGCAAGAAACAAGGCACCCAACAGAACTGATCATGACTGATGCTATTGATTATATAGCCTAAATGTATTTATGTTAGATCTTGAGAAGGGCTGTTGGGATATGGCAAGAGCCAACTCTGGCTGCTCCTGGCTGCTACTCTTGAATGGCTTTCACAATCACAGCAACATCCCCATCATGGTGTACTCTTTTCCAAAGTCTCAAGATGCTAAGAATGGGATTTTCAAAAATTAGAACGGCTCAAGGTAAGAGCAGTTTCATGCAGTGACAGTAGATAAAAAGTTGTAGATAGACCTCTACAATTACATAATTTATTGATGATAGCATTACATTTTCAAGTTATTATTCAAACAGCTTTAATTTCTCGGTTATAGAGCAGTTTTACAATGGTTGTCATGTGAAAATATTTGGCCCTGACAACATGAACAAGAGTACAGTTCATCATGACACTTTCGTTAAGCAACTCTGTCAAACAAAACATTGTGTTCTGTTAGATGTTATGGCAGTTTTGCTGTAAACAATCAGACAGAAAGACAGACGACTCTAGAGATAAGAATGCAACAGATTGTCATATAGCTATTTAAACCACTGGTCCATCCAGCCCAATATTGTCAACACTGTCTGAGAGTGCCTTTGCAAGGTTCAGATCAGGAGTCTTTCTTATTTGTGCTTGGAGACACCAAGGACGAAGGATGTTCTATTTGCAAAGCCGATGTTCTAACCCTGAGCTATGGCAAGCCCTTACCTGTTTGGTAGCATTGATGACTTTCCTTCCTTCCAATCATGTAAAGTGAGCATTTGCAGAACCAGTTCTTAGTAGTTCATACCACTCGTACTCACCAAGATACCTGCTTTATTGAAATCACCTCAGGCAACCTCTGAGCCATCCCACAAAAAATCTGGCCAATCCAATATACCATAATTCTTTATTAATGCTGTCTTTGTTAAGGTTTTCATAGCAATTATAATAAGTGCTTCTTAGTATTTATAGGTCTTAATAAAGTAATGGGTTTTTCCTAATGTCAGGAAAAAGTGTATATTGCCTCTAACAGCAAAGAGGATGTGTGTGTGTGTCTTTCAGACTCTGCATGCCAAATTTCCTAAGTGTGTACCTGAGCAGAATGCAATATGTGTCCTTGAGAGTCAGTCATTGTCACATTTTACAGTCTGCAAGCTGTATTTAGCAAGGAATTGTTTATTATTTCCCTAGGACACACCATGACACCAAAGAGGCCAGCACAAAACTGACTCAGAATAAGAATGAAAGCATATTTTTCAGTGCCTCATCCTGAAAAGAATTATTTACCATAGTAAAGATATAAAATGTATCCCTGTATGGAAAGGCCTCTCATTTTATTTTACTTTCAGCATTTTCCCTTTTTATAATCTGCTCTACACAAAATGACATGGCAGTTCAACAAAATTTGCCTGCAGAGGAGTGCCCTTATTAGCACAGAGAAGGAGAATAGAACTCATATTTCCTGTATCACAAACCTTTTGCCTGACATTATAGTTGCACAGTAATGCATTTATGTTACTGTGCAGCAGAGCAAACAAACATTCTACAAAGCAATTCTAAAAAGAAGAGCAGGCCAAACCACACAAAAAACCCTTTGAATTTGGACTGCAGATCAGCACCAGTTTTGCACAAATGTTGCAAATGGGCTGTTCTTGTTCTGTGCCAAATTTGGGGACGTTTGGGCAGATGGTTTTCAAGTTATAATTTTTTAAATGTAAAACTGTTTTACTCCCATGCAGAAAATGCGACCCTAAACATCCCCAGATTTAAAATAGCTCACAAAAATTGAAAAGACCAGTCTTGCTAATGTTGAAAGAGAATGGTTGATCCCACCTGCTTTTTTGTTTGGAAAGAATCCAGGCTGCAGGAGCTAAAATGCTCACCCAAAAAAAGGCCTTTCAAAAGTGAAAAACTATCACTTTGTTATAAGACTGAGCATGCACAGAACAGGCTTACCAACAAGAGTGTTCCAAAGTAGATACATTGTTGCAGCTTCATGGCCCTGGAAGGGAGATGTTTGGAAGGCAATGGAAGGTCACAGAAATAGTAAAAAGACAGGTTTTCTTTGAAGACTAACAAAAAATTAATAATCCAGGCTTCCTTTAAAGAAAGTAATGGAACAATAATCCTTCAGAAAGGGACATGTTATTTATTTCCAGAGATTAAGCATTTCCAGAGATTAATCAACCATTCCACCCATCTTGTCACTATACAATTTCTGATAAGTGGGGGAGAAACCCCCAAAGATGTTATCAAGTCACTTCTGATGTGTGATAACTATATGAGTTAATGACCTTGAATATGTCATACCATTAATAGTTCTGCTGAGATCTTGCAAATCCATATCTCACATTAGTTTATTCTCTCTTCCTACTGCCCCCTTTCTTTTATTGTATTTTCTAGTAAGTTCTGCTGAGGTATTGCAAAGTAACAGCAGTGGTTTGTTTTATTGAGACAATCTGCCTCATATTAGGTGCCCCCCCTCACATTCCCCAGAAATATTGTCTTTTTCTGGTCAGTTCTGTGTTATTATATTTGCATAGTAGGATAGCCTCAGTTGACTCATTTTTGCCTTTAGTGAGAGAGTTCAGGCGTGATGCTTGAAATGGCCCAATATTGCTATAGAATATCATTGTCAGCAGAAAAACCGTTTGCATAGGAACAAGCAGCCTGAATATTGACAAAACCAATGACAGCAGTCAGTATGGTCTGCAGGATAGCCTTTTGTGTTCCCTATAATTGACAGACAACCTTTTAATTGCTTTGTGTTTGGGTGAGAAGTGGTTAACTAATGAAAAAAGGAGTCAGCTTCTGAGATTTTCCATTGTGTGGTGTCACTTTGTGGATAGTAGTGAGCAGAAGTGAGTATCACGTAGACCATCTTGACAGCTGCCATTGGTGTTGTCAACATTCAGGCTACCCTTTGCTATGTAAAGCTTGGAATCCTTTTTCCTGCTGGCAACACAGGCACAGTATTGGGCCACTTCCTTGCATTTTGAATTGTGGATACAGAAGCACAATATCCCACATTCATACACCAGAGGGTTTTTTTAAAAAAAAAATTGAATACTCTTTTGAACTAGATTCTCTCTCCTCTGCACCTCCTTTCTCCTTCAAGCCCAGCCTTGCCATTAAGTAGGATGTGACAACTGCCTTAGGCAGCAGTCACTGAGGGGCAGCAGCAGTAACCTCCTAATCAGCTGTTCCACCTGAGCCCCCATCCACTTTCCTTTCTTGAAGAACAAAACTGGATGGTCTAAGTCTGCCCTATACCTGCACAACTAATCTACTCCATTTTCAAGGGTGATGGAGAAATCTTTCTCATTTGAAAGGATGGATTTAGGTTACTGGCCAGTCCAATTTGCTCCTGTAAATGAAATGAAGCAGGAACCATCTTGCCATTTGTGTGAGGCAGAAAAATATACTGGGCCTTCCCTGTTCTCTCCCTCTCTCTCTTTCCTTTGTATTCAGGGAATTGTCTTATTAGAACTTGGAAGTAGCAAGTTACAAGTAACGGAAATTCCCATAATGTATTAGGATGGGAATAATCTACATGTTTCACTTGGGATTGTCTCACTATAGAGTCTCATCATAGGGTTTGGTTTCATCACAGACCAAATAAGAGATGGATTGACTCAATTAAAAAAAAGCAGTGGCCTTGATTTCAGAAGAGCTAAGCACAGCTGTTAATGACAGGACATTTTGGACTCTTTCATAGGGTCACCATAAGTCAGAGGCAAATTGATTAGAAATAATAACAATGAAGGCATAATAGCATTATTTCTGAAGCAACTTGATAGCTGTAAATATCACAGCATTTTTTCTCTTTGCAACCAGTAGTCTTTCCCTGTTACTTCTAAAACACTTCTGGGGCTAATCAGAGGAAATTTTGATCATTTAGGGGCCCTTCTGCATTTTTAATATATATATTAAGATGATCAAATTATTTATTACTCTTTAAACTGTGCATAATGTGTTGCTTTTTAAAAACTTGATGGCTAATGCTAATACATTACATGGCTGAACCATTCATCTTGGGTAAGAATGTTGAGCGACTATTAAGGCAGTGGTTTTGTATCCATTCATATACGAAAACAATTTGCTTCTGTTGTTTGTACTTGTAATGGATTGGAGCATATTATTCGCTTCATAGCATGGGAATTCTCTAAAAGCATTTGTTTCCGGTGCAGTGGAAACAAAGATGTAAGGATCAGACTAGGCAAATAGCTTAAGCTGCCTAGAAGGCTTCCTATTCAAGCTGAATTCTCCCATTCTAGCTACAGAATGCCTGGTTTTAAGCCACTAATGCTAGCTAAATATGCCACCTATGCAACTCAGCAATAAAATATGGTGAAACAGCTGCCTCAGCTGATGGTTTGGGACACCATTAAAACTAGGAAAGTGAGCAAAGTGGCAGTACTGTAATTGAATGTGTTTTACTGTGAAAAAGATTAGGATATTCCATTGTAGGTACCAAATTGTATCCAATTATTCTGTCATGGCTGACGGACAGAAATCCAACAACAGAGAGAAATCCGATTGCTGGACTGGAAGGTCTTATTACCCCAGCCATCCTACCAGTAATCTCATGCAGGAATCTAAGAGCCAGTGAGACAACGGAAAATTACAGATCAGTGGGAAGTCTCAATGGAAACAGGACTGACTATATTAAAGTATTAAAGGTAGAGATCACTAGTTTGATAACTGATAGGAAGAACACCCTGTTCTCATCCTCAACCAACACACCAAAAGCCATTGAGAGACTGGGTCACTATCCATCTCTCCGACAGGACATCCTAGCAAGGGGACT